AAGATTTTCACTAAATTAAAAATAATAAATAATAATTTAGTTAAATTCTTTTTTAGATTATGTCAAAATAACTATAATTTAAATTAATTCATTCAACTTTCTTTATAGTTATTTTTCACTAATTATATATTAATGCAAAAAATTCAACCAACAAGATTTTGAAAGATATTATTATATTAATATTATTTATTATAAAATTGATTCTATATTTGAAAAAATAATCAAAATCGTATAACCGATGTATGCAATTTTTTAAAAATTATTTTTTTTGACAAAATATTAATAAAATATGGCACATGACATAACAAATTCTTATACTATTTTTGAGTTCTCTAAAAAAATTTTATAGCATAATCTATAAAATATTTTGCCGGAAAAAACCTGCGAAGAATATATAACACAGGTTTACAAATTTAAAATTTTTTTTTTTGTCACTCGAACAAAACATTTTTTTTCGATTAATATATGTGTTTTTTGAGTAAGAAAATGATATTTTAAATTTTTTTCCCTGTGCAATTTTTTTGTAACAGCAAATTATGCATTTTCGAGGTGTGACGTCATATAAAGTCACCAGTAGAGAAAGCAGTTAATCCAAATGTAAAAAATAAATCACCATTTGAAAGATAATTAAATTACCTTTCAAACCATTGGTCAACCAATAAAATCCATTCAAAATTGTAGAGTCGATCAAATTTCAAGCAAATTTTAATGATTTTTAGACATTCGTCTAAGTTTCGCTAATTTTTTCAAAGTCAAACAATCATAAAAAGGCAAGTTTTAAATTTTTTATTAATAGTATATTTAATTGCGAAACTTTTAAGCCTTTATAGACCTCGATCTGATAAAAAATAACAATTCTACACTAAATTTATTAAACAAAGTACTTTTTCACTTTTAGTATATTTTCAATGTATGATTTCGATCTATAATTATCAGTTTTGTATTATACAACTAAGTTAAGCAAAGCTCACCAAAATGAGTACTCGGGGGATTTCGGGGTCGCTGATTACGAATTCGAGGTCAGTTTTTGAAAATTCAAAATGGCGGATCAAATATGGCGGACAAAATTTTAATAATTAGAAATTAATTTTGAAAAACTGACCTCAGATTCGTAATCAGTGACCACGAAAACCCCCGAGTACTCATGTTGGTGTACTTAGCTCTAATTACTAAAATTTTGTCCGCCATATTGGATCCGCCATTTTGAATTTTCAAAAACTGACCTCGAATTTGTAATCAGCGACTCCGAAAACCCCTGAGTATACTCATTTTGGTGAGCTTCGCTTAACTTACTATAGTTTTACAATTAACAATAAAAACATTGTTTATGGCTTTTTTACTTTGGACGGCAGAAAAGTGAAAAAGTACTTTGTTCAATAAATCTAGTGTAGAATTTTGTTATTTTTTATCAGATCGAGGTCTATGAAGGCTTAAAAGTTTCGTAATTAAATATACTATTAATAAAAAATTTAAAACTTGCCTTTTTTTGATTGTTTAAATTTTACAAAATTAGCGAAACTTAGACGAATGTCTAAAAATCATTAAAATTTGCTTGAAATTTAATCGACTGTAACTCTGACAATTTTGAATGGATTTTATTAATTGACCAATGGTTTGAAAGGTAATTTAATTATCTTTCAAATGGTGAGATTTATTTTTTACGTCACACCTCGAAAATGCATAATTTGCTGTTACAAAAAAATTGCACGAGGGAAAAAAATTTTAAATATCATTTTCTTACTCAAAAAAACACGTATATTAATCGAAAAAAAAAATGTTTTGCTCGAGTGCGACAATTTCATTGTAAACCTGTGTAATTAATGTGAAATCACAACAATTATACATAATCTTAATTTAAATGTATAAAAAGAGTGGGCCGAATATGTCTTAACAAAATTATCAACATTTTGAAATTCTTTGTAATCGGATCGATAATTTAAAATTTTTTATGTTTCTTTATTACAAATTATAATATATCTGTATTATTTCAAAAATACTGTCACATTTTTCTTTTATAATTTTGACATCCATAAAAAATTGTGGTTTTTCTAAAAAAAAAAAAAAATTTTTTTTTTTTAATTTTCCAAAAATAGAATATTTAAACATTCCAATCGGAATTTTAGTTATAATTTTCATCTTTATAAATGCAGTTTTTTTCAGTAAAAACTTTCTCAATAAAAAAAGAAAAATGAAAAAAAAAATCATAAAAGTCATAATATTTTTATGTTTTATTTACTATTTTACGACATTATGTAATTATACTAATTTTAAATTATAATGTCAAAAAATATGGAATATAAAATCATTTATAATACAAAATGGAAAAAGGTGTATTGTGATAAGGTTCTTATAACCTGTGCGTCGGATCCTCAATATTATATATATATACACATATACAGAAGGGAGCGCTATATCCCCCAAGTAGAATTTTTATTGCCTCGTAAAATGTATATACATACACAAACTAAAGATTCTTCTACTTTTTAAAAAATATTGTTTTCATTTTCAACATTTTCAAATCGATAAAAATCTAGATATATTTGTAATAAATTTAAATTTTATTTAACCTAAAAGTAAAATGACATGAAATGTAACTTAATTTTTATTGTCAAATAAAATTAACCGAAAAGGGTCATTTTAAGGAAATTGATTTTTTAAATTAGGAAAAATTTTGTAATAGTTATTTAAAAAAAAAAAAAAAAAGAAGTTAAGTTTGGTAACATAAAAGTCACTTTAGATTTGTTTTCTCTTTTCCTAATTATATTTTATAACTCGTACACATATATATTATATACTTATTTTAAAATCACTTTTATATCATTATTTTAAGCCAAAATAATTATTATACTCAAAAAAAAAAAAAAAAAAAACCACTTAATTTCGATATATTAGTATTATTTGGAAATATTTATCATTATTTGTTAATTGCTAAGCCTATAAACTCATTAATTTAATGCACTATTTATAATAACTTAATTCCAAAATTAATTTAGTTAATGAGAAAAATGTAAATTTCCCCATTTATACTATTTGAAAAAAAAACAACAATTTTTTTCCATTTATTATTTTCACTTATAAATACTCCAATTTCTAATAATCTATTCTTTTCATTAAAAGAAATAAATTACTTTTTAAATTAAAATTTAATTACATTAAAATATATAGAAGATTATAAAATTTAATGATTATTTACTAATATATATTGTATAATTTTTTTTTTTTTTCACCCATAAGTAAAATTTTTTCAAAACATAAAAAAATCCTATACAGAGCGGAGTAAAAGGTAATAAGAAAAATTCCAAAAATTATAGTTCATATATATATATTGAATATTTATTCTCTCCACTTATAGACATATTATGTACAACACTTAATTTTTAATAGTCTTATAGTAACAATGACTTTGATTTTTCATTTTCTTTTTTTTTTTTTTTAGAACAAAAATCACCAGGACTATTGTTTTATTATTGATAATAATAATAAATTACTTATACATTAAAAAAAAAAAAAAAAAACTGTACAAAATTAAAATTTCATTACACAAAACAAATATATACACATACACACATAATTTTCAAATATTTTTTTATACAAAAATGAACAGATAATTCTTTTCCTAATTTATTTACAATTTTCATTATTTATTTCGACAAATATTTCACACACATACACACACGCTGATAAAATTAAAAATCAGAGATTTTTTTTTGGCAGTGACTCGATTATATATATATATAATAATTATATTCTTTTTTCTCTATTTACAAATCTCAGTTTTTTAATGAAATTATTCTTTTGAAAGAACTTTTTTTTACATATACATTAAATTAACTCATTATTAGAAAGAAATATCTCGAATTATGAGTTAATAATATTAAAAAAATAATCCAATTTGACAAAATACAGAATAATTTGGAATAAAATATATTCAAAAAAAAAAGAATATTGATATATAATACTCCTCTTTAAAAATTATTTTTTTATTTAAAATATTTTAATTTTTAAAACTCTATTTACTGATTATTTGAGAAAGGTATATATATATATATTTATATATATATATATATAAACGCATATGTGAAAGTTTTAGGTCTGAAAAAAATATTTATAAACAATGAAGATTTGTATTCTTAATACAAAATGATAATTAATTTAATATTCATTAATTTTTTTCAGATTTATATATTCTTTCCATATATGCGTGTATTTTATTTAAATCTCAGTAAAATAAAAATATTTTATTGGAAAAATTTTTTTTTTTGCCTTAAATATTCAAATATAGCTGTAAATTTTTTTTTTGAATTTTTTTTTTTAATAAATTGTTGTTCTCAATGTAATGTAAATTTAATGAAATTGCATAGACAATAAAATCAACTTTTTGAAGTACAATAAATATAATCTGAATTATGAAACAAAATATATATACAAAAATGAATAAACTTTTAAATCATTAGTAAAAAAAAAAAAAAATGAATTATTTTGCATATTTTAAATCGGAAATAAGAGATTTCGATTAATTTTTGTTATTATTAAAAACTAGAAGTTTTATGCAATTATTTTTATTCTATTTCTACTTCTATTATACCAGATAGACAAAACTGAAGTACTCAACGTTTATGATACAACGATTTTTAAAGAAATATTTTTTTAAAATGGGAAAAATTCTATAATTTTTGTTCTTAAAAAAATGTATTTTTTTTTTAATAATTTTTTTCGTTAACAAAAACTATAAGAAATATTTTTTCGGCAAAAAATTGTAGAATTTTTCATTTTAAAAAATTATTTCTTTAAAAATCGTTTATCATAAACGTTCCGTACTTCAGCTTCAGATATAGCGACTTTGTTATAACTTTACTTTTTTTTTTGTATTAATATATTATTTTATTATATATATATTTTTATATATATATATAATTTAAAAATTTTGGATAAATAAAATAATTTTAATATTTTCTCAAAATGATTTGTAATTCTATTTAAAAAATCATTTTCAACGTTCAATGATTTGAAAAATAGAATTAACGATAATAATGAGAATACGAAGAAAAACATTGAAAGTAAAAAAGAAATAGAAACAGAATTTTTTTTTTTAAAGAAACTTCTAAAATAAATTTTTTCAAAATTATGAAAAAAAACTACCAACAAAATGGTGTATTCCTTTGGAAAGGAAATTTTTTTCTCTCTTAATTATTGAGAATTTCCAATTTAAAATTATTGCACAACAGCCAACAAATAACAAAAAAAAAAAAAAATACCTATTTTTTCTTCTCTATCTAAGTCTATGCTTTCTCCGTGATATCATTTTTGTATGGTTGAAATAATTTTGGTGGTTCAATTTTAATACTTTTTTGTAATGTTGGCGACGATGTTGTTAAACCCATTCCATAATCATTAATTGATTTTGTTTCATATAAATTTTGATGCATTGCCTGATGAATTGGCGTTGTTGCAATACTTGATAATGCAATTGGTTTTAATGGTGGTGATATTGTTTTATCACGTGTTGATATATGATGACATACGCCATGTTGATGAATTGAATTTGAACAATCGCAATCGCTCGATGCATCAGAATGTATTGGACTCATTTCTGATGGTAATATTGTTGTTGGCGGCCTATATGTTGGCGTTCCACCAACTTGTGATAATGGTGGACTCATATAAGGTGTGTTACCAATATTTGGCACGCCTAATCCCGGTAAATGGAGGGGCGGTAAATTATGGTGGGACTGTAGAATATGTGGATGATGAGGATAAGTCGATGACTGGAGGTGTGGCCTAGGCAAGGATGCTGCGTTTGTTGTTGGCGCAGCACCACCACCATAAGGAGAAAATCGAGTTCCATAATATGCCGCCGTTGGTAATGCAGGATAGTTGAGATGAATACCACCGCCTGGCGTTGGATACGCTGGATGTTGTAATGTTGAAGCGGCGGCTATTGTTGCCAATGTTGCAGCAAAATTTGGATCCATATAGGGCCATGCCAATGCCATTCTTTGTCGTTTATCCTTCATACGACGATTTTGAAACCATACCTGCAATTAGAGAAATTATTTATTAAATACTTTCGAAAATTAGACAATATTGTGGGAATTAAAAGAAAAAAGAAATTTCCGCTAATGAATTCAAAAATCCTGCCTGCTAATTAAGAGGCGCTTAGCACCTTGGTTCTAACGAATTTTGTTTTAAAAACGCGCACCACTATTATATTTGAGTAAGCGTGGAAGCCATCAGCTTCCAGGCTTACTCGTTTATATTTACTCTCGGATGATTGAAGTATACTATTTACACGGGAAAGAAAAAGGCGCCGCGCTATAATCGCTGATCAAACAAAAAAATTTCCGCTTCTAATTGCTTTCAATTAAGATTTTTATTTATTCTACAGCGGTATATTCTTTCTAAAAATGATAATTACCTTTATCGTAGATTCGGGAAGTTGAAGTTGTGTCGCTAGCTCACATCTTCTGGGTCTACTGACGTAATTTTCCCTAAGGAACTCCTTCTCCAGTCGATTTAATTGTTCCCGGGTGAATGCGGTTCTGTATCTTCGCATATTTGGATCCATATTGTTCAGTGTTTGTTGCTGTTGTTGTTGTGATTGCTTCTCCTGATTTGAAACTTCTGTAAAATAACAAATTTTTCCTATTAAATATACACTTCATTTGAAGAAGTAGTAGGCAAAATCCTTAATGCGGCAGAAAAAGTGTGGTCGCGGTACATCCTTTGATTAAAAAAGAAACGACCACTAAAATCAAGTAGGTGGTCCAGACTCCCTACAGTGTCATCTTTTAAAATTCGACCCCAAAAAAAAAAAAATTCTCGCACTTTTTACGACAATAGCGTAGTGTCTACTATTGTGGGTTACGCAATTTCTTTGATGTATGCCGGCGAACATGAAAAATATTTTTCCCCCAAAAACGAAGAAATCTATTTTTGTTCCAATAAACATTTTAGCTACGGTGTACAATTAAATAACTAAACGGACGAAGAAGAAAAAAAAGCTGATATAAAAAGAAATAATAGATTATTGCCAACATTAAATTTGTTACGGATTGTTTGTGCAATGATAGAAAAGCAACAAACCTGTTGCAAGATGCATTCATCATAAAAATGGTATTTTTGGGAAATAAGCCTCGTAAAGTAATTACCGCAATAAAACTTCAGGGCCCAGGGGGAATGAGAGAAATAGGTACTTTTGTCAAAAGCGGTTGTCTCTCCATCCTCTTTCCAGGAAGGATTACTATGGCTGCAAATCTTTCAGGAAAATTTTTATGACTCAAAGGAAAAGGACGCGCTTTCAAATATGTATATATGAGACAGAAAGAAGGAAAAATTTAATGCAACATTGGTTTGTAACAACTGACAATATCAATTGGATTATCCCAATACACAACTAATTATCGAAAAAAAAAAAATTATACCTACTCCATCGTAAATCTGTATTATAAACAAGCAGCTTATGCTAATCCGGTTATGTCAAAAATGCCTGTATCAATCAGGTACACCAAACCAATACTTTTGGTATTGTCTTTAAAACGTTATTGAATTTATATATTTAAATTTTCAAGTAAAGAGCAAAAACCACCACCAGTTGTAATACTCTTTAATTGTTTGTTAAAAGTTCCATTGTGAATGGATTTTAACGAACAAAATAATTGCATATCATAAATATTGTATACAAAGGGTTTACTCTGCCTTCGTGCATATTGAAATTAATAGTTTAGCTATAAGAGAATTAGTAAACATTTTTGACTTTTAAAAATGTATTCAAGAGGGATTTTTCGTAGTTGTGTATAACTGACAAATTTTAACTTGAATAGATTTGAAATTACAGATGTTCCGAAATTAGAAGTATAGCAGTATTTAGTGTATTAGCAATATTATATTCCTAAAACTATGCGTGAAAAGCAAATAGCAAACAATCGCTATTGGATAATTATAGATATTTTGTAGTAATTTAAAAACATAAATTCTCAATACAATAATTATCAATTAAAGCAGGTACAATATTTAAATTTTCAATTATGCCGAAAAAATTGACTATTAGTATCAAATACAAGAAAATGAAGGTAACTATTAACTTTTCGAACCGACGGAAATGAATTTAGCAGAACAGATTTTTTTTTTTTTCTAATAGAAAAGAATTATTTACCTTTATCAGATTTGATGCATTGATTGATTGGAGGACTATTAGGTGGGGTGCTGTGTATATGATATTGAGGTGGCACTATATCCACAACAATGGTCTCTTCCTCCCTTTGATCTCGTTGAGTTTCAAAACTCCTTTGATGATAGCCTTGCATTTTTAATTTTTAAAATCACTTTTTGTCGAGAGAGAAAAAATAAGGAACAGTTATTTCAAATGAAAAAACGGCCTTTTTTCTTTTGCACACTTCACACTATATAATCACACTATTTTTTTTCCAGCTCTGCTGGAATTGGAACAAAAAACTGAAAAATACACAATTACTTTTGTAGAATGTAATATAATTTTTACCATCCACGGTAGTTTACTGGAAGTGTACTGAAGATTTTAAGCTGAGTGAAGCAGTATTTATGGACTCTGCGACAGTGCTGCGAAGAGGTGGTAACAATGTTGAACTGTAACCACACTCTCATTGGCCTATCGATCCTCATGGTTGACTGTGATTGGTTGAAATGGTATTCAGCTTGCCACGCCCATTTCTTCTTATTATTGAGTTGTGTGTTTGTGTGTGTGTGCGCTACTGCTTTTCTAAAAAGGAGGGGAGAAAGTGCTACTATGGATCTTGGTGAGAGAATTATCTCTAATAATTCCGCCATATAAATTCGTTATGATTCACTCTACTCTACGGGTAAATCTTCTTGCTTCTGTATATACTATTCTCTGGTTTCATGAACATGTGTGATAATGTTGCCTCCCTTTCGTTAGGTTTATACATAAACACGTTAATTTAGTTTTGTGAATTTTAAATAGTATATTTTACAATTTAAGAAATTAATTGATATAGAAAAGAAGAATAATTTGTTACGATTATATAGAAAAATTTTAAAATTATCTCAACTAATTAAATATATTTATTTGTTATTACTATATTTGTTCAAGGTAGAAAAATGATTTATTTGAACCAAATAAAATAAATGAGTTAAATAAATGTATATTTGTCTCAGAGCCTACTGACTTATTTATTTGGCGTAAATAAAAATTTTATTTGTCAGAAATAAATTTTTCTTTGCCACAAATAAATTGTTTATTTCAATGAAATAAAATATATTTGCAACAAATAAATGCGAGTTTAGTAGGCTCGGAGACAAATATACCATTTCTCTGAGTGGTTATTATCACTAAATATATATTTGGTTTTAATAAATGTTTTAGATTTAAAATATTTATGTTTTTAATAAAATTGTTCAATTCATAAATAAATTATATTTGGTTCAAATAAAAATTTAATTTTGTCAAAATAAAAATGTTATATTTGATTCAAATAAAATTTTGATTTGGTCCCAAATAAATATATATGTATTTTGTTTAGGACAAATAAAACTTTTTTTTTCTTTTATATATGTATATAAACAAAATGTTTATTTGAAATAATTATATAAATTATATGTTATTTAACTATTGGACAAATATATTTTTATTTAATTTCAAATAAACTATATGAAAATTTTTCTAAATTTATTGTATATTGAGATAAAATAATAAGTTTTATATATATTTGCTTTTAATATTTGCCTTTATAAACAGCATCTGTTTGATTTTTAACAAATTGCTGACAAATATTGATATTTTTTAAACACAAAGTGTATATATAGTAGTTGAGACTATTATGAGTAGTATATTTATTTGATTTTGACAAATTTTATTTTTTACTGTAAAATTTTCTTCTACTTTTGCAAAATATAATTGTTTAATAAATTGAGAAAAAAAACTTTATTTGATTCAAATAATCGGATATTTAACTCAAATAAATATTTACTTGTATCAAATAAATTTTAATTGAATCAAATAAACAGCTTTTTTAAATTTAAGTTTGTTTGAATTCGTTTATATTTATTTAAATTAGTGAAAATTTCTACTATTTTTAGTCATTTTTTACTAAAACTAAAAAACATTACTAAAGTAATTGGATTCACTAATTTAAATTAGTGGAAAATTTCTACTACAATTGTTAGTCATTTTTCACTATATATAGAATTTATTTTTCTTCTTTTGAAAAAAAAACTTTATTTTCGACTCAAATAATCGGTTACTTTACTATATTAAATAAATATTTATTTATATTAAATAATTCTTGAGTCAATTAAATATTATTTGTTTCAAACACAAAAATTGTTGGTTCAAATACAATTTATTTAATTTAATTAAAAAATTATTTTGGTGTTCATATATATATATATTTATTTGGTTCAATTATTTAATTGCTCATTATAGTAAAGTAACCAATTATTTGAATCAAGTAAATTTTTTTTTTCTACGTTATAAAAATGAAACATTATTTAAAACAATATTATATGTACATTTTTATTCTGGTTATATCATATATAATGAAAATGAGTGACAAGAAATTATTTCTTAAGTAATTATCACCATTAGCATTATCATTGTTTGATATTAATTAACGACATTTAATGAATTTCTTATATTATTTGTATACTATCATAATAATGTAATTACATTATCATAATATTATAATTATCTGACAATGAAAACTAATTATGACTCTTCTATTACTTATATACTTAAATTTTCTCCTTTATAATTATTTTCCATCGTATTTAAAAATCTAATCATAGGGGAGAAAAAATTGAAATTTATATCAAAAAATTTTTAATTTTTAAATTAAAAAAAAAAATTAAAATTAATTTTTCTTTTGTATTTTACTTTAAAAATTTAACTTTATATATAAAAAAAAATTTTAATATTTTCCGTATAAATTTTTTGTTTTTTTGCTTATTTCTATTTAAATTTTATCTAATAATAAAAATGTATCGAAATAAATTTGCGCTTTTCAATTATTATAATGCGATTCGTTTCGGAAATATGTCAAAAAGATGCGCTCAAAACATTTTTGAAAACATATTTACGGCACATTTAGTAAAATCCGTGTCGGACGCAAAAATATATAAAAGTTACGCAAAACGCACGCACCAAAAAAAAAAAAAAAAAGATCCTTAAAAGTAAAGAAGCGTAAACCTCATAAAAAGTATATATATATAATATATAAGAAAGTTTACCCTCAAAAATATTGGTTTTTCTTTCAACAAATTTTCTTCCCCCCCAAACACAAGTTCGCTCCGCGCACTTAAATCGTAAAACATGGAAATAAGATTTTTGCTCCATTTTAAACGCATTTATGATGCCAAAACAATGAAAAAATTGTAGCAAAAATTTTGGCCTGCTCCAGAAAAAAAAGAAAGAAAGAAAAAAAAAAAAAAAAAAAATGTTCAGTCGCTCTGAATTACGATCTTTTGCGCATAGGTATATTCAAATTTTTACAACCTATATAGTCCTTGGAGGGGAAAAAAAATTTAAATATAAAAACTACTATACAGTTGAATTCGAGGTAAAGAATTAAATTTTGAAAGAAAAAAAAATTTCTTTTTTTTAATTTTACAGTGATGGAATTTTGATAAATATAATTATATTATTTTCTTTTCAATTTGAATACTGCTGAAAAAAAAAATGTATTTTGATTCAAATACTCGACTATTATCAAATAAATATATTTACTTGAACCAAATAATTTTTATTTGAATTAAATTAATTTGTATTTGAAACAATAATTTCTGGTATTTGAAACATATATATTTAATTGACTCAAATAATATATCTAATTATTTGAAATAGATAAATATTTATTTGAAATAAATAAATATTTATTTTATAATAGTCAACTAATCGAGTATTTGAATCAAATAAATTTTTCTTTCATAGTGTATGAATATTTAAAAACAAACGAAAATATTAATATAATATAAAAATATTTTTAAAAATTTAGAAATTGAAATTTTTATTAGTATATATATTTCTCCTCGCACCAATTGTGAAGTTTAAACGTGGACAAAATACAAGAAAAGGTACTAATCGACGCAATTATATTAGAAAATAATAATCTTTTTACGATACATTATGAAGAAGATCTTAAAAAAGTAGGTGAACCATTTTTTTTCTGTATTCGGTATTCATTTTTTTTTTTTTTTTTTTTTTTTTTTACAATTTTCAACTAAAAGTCAATTGGCCTACTTTTTTGTCCTCTATATATAACAAAATTGCAAAGTTGTAAAAAAAAAATATATATATATATATACCTGGGACTCTCGTCGATGTTTGGGAAAGGAAAAATGCGCTCATTTTTGGAATATACGCGGCAAAACCAAAACTGGAGCAACGGTACCAGAAAGTCATATATTTTATCATTCATAACAGTAACTTATTGGTCTTTATTGGAATGGTCAAAATAATTTTTCAAAACGGGATCGATCTTTTTCTTCTTCTTTTTTTTTTCATTTTTCATTTTTCTCAAATATTTTACCTGTGTTAAATATATTATATAACAGAAATTTGTGCTTTTTGCATTTCTCTTATGTATTTTGTGATATACAACCGTTTGTTAAATGTGGAGCGTTTTTTTTTTGTAAATGCAAAAAAAAAAAAAAAAAAAAATTATGACATAGATTTAAACTAGAGCAAAAAAAATTCCTGTCTAAGAAAATATATGACGCGCAAATCTTAAAAATATGAGGAAAAAAAAGTCGAAATTTCATATTATTTTGTTTTATCTTATTTATGTTTATTGTTTTTTTAACATTATTTTATAATAGTAAAAAAAATTGTTTATAATAAATATTTTTTTTCAATAATTGACAATACTGAACATAAAATTAAAAATAAATTAGAAAAATTTGACAAAAAAAATCAAATGAAAAAAAACTGAAGCACACAATAAACAAAAAAATAAAAATTTATTATTTTATTTATTCTTTTTTTAATTATTTTCTTCTATATATTTTTGAACCCTTTTTTATGATTTTGCCATTCATAATAATTCTATACTATATATATATATATATATATATATATATATATATATATATGTGTTTATAACTTTTACCTTGAAATTTGGGAAAAAGAGTTAACTTATAATTTTCATATTTTTGGTCTTCGATTATATTGAACTTTTCGAAATTTGTATTGGTAGCACCAAAAAAAAAAAAAAAAAAAGAGACTACCTGAAGGAATACCGCTAACTTGTTCTTTTGTTAAAGTACAAATGTTGGCAATAAAAAAATAAAAATTTCTCCCTTCCAACCCTTTACGATATCTTCTATTTGCCATTGGCGAACCCTTGCCCATTTTTTCGAAAACTAATCCGCTTAAACCGAGAGATACAGAGTCCTTTTTATTTTATAGTCGTTAAGTGATCTTGAGCAATATAAATTTTGGCCAAAAAGGAAAGTGTTGCCCCTGAATAATTGCAATCATTCATAGGACTCACTTTTTTTTCTTTTTTTTCTGTTTTTTTTTTTTTTTTTTTTTTTTTTTTATATATTT